TCTTTAAATTCACTGAATTCTTTTATCATGTTTATAATTGTTCTTTTGAGTTCCATGTCCTGTGTTATCTCTAGGGAGTTCTCAATGTACTCCTTTAGAGGACTATTGGTATTTGGTCAGGATATGTTATTTTGGTTTTTCCTGTTATTATTTTTTCTCTGTGATTTTGACATGTGAATTTCTTTTGTAGTTTCTGATTCTTGTGTGAGACTCAGGCCTTCAAGTTTAGGTCTGCTTCTTTTTGTGAACTTTATGTTTCTTTGTGGTTTACTTTTGGGGCATGAAAAGCTGGTTCATCTAAGCTTCTGGTTCTCTCTTTTGATTTTATATTGGAGTGGCCGGATTGCTTTTGTCTTCAGGAGTTCCCACAGAGGCCCAATTCAGATGAGGTTCAGATGTTTCCAGGCTTTCTCCTAAGGTTTGGATCCCTCCAGGAACAATTTTGGCCTCAGGAATTTGGGGGTTGTACTGGCCTTAGAGCCTGGCCCAGGAAAGATGCTGGTCTAGGGTAGCTGGTGGCTGTTCCACCCAGAGATGTAAAGGCAGATGGTGCAGAAAGAGGCTGCAAGGACTCCTGCGGATTGCACTGAGGAGTTTGGTTGGTCTGGATGCAAAGGATCAGGAAGAGGAAAGGTCAACCCCCTGGCCCAGAAAGAGGCTGAGGGGTGGTGCAGGCCCAGGGAAGCAGGAGATCATGAGGGGTGGGGCCAGGCCTAGAAGCAGTGCTTTTGGGGCCCAGAGAAGGCACTATATTGGTCTGGATGAAAAGGATCAGGAAGAAGTATTGGTTCCCCAGGTGTCTGGTGCCCCAAGACAAGGAATGGGACAGGACCCAAATTAGGAGAGACTGGTGGGGGAGATGGGAGGGTGAATTAGATTTTATTTTTTAGTACATTCAACTAGCCTGTGTCTTTTGACTGGGGAATTCAGTCCATTGGTATTTCAAGTTATTATTGAAAGATGTGCATTGGTTGCTGTCATTTTAATTTCTTTTTGGTCTTTTTTTTTCACAATTATCTTTATTTAGTTTCTTTCTGTTTCTCCTTGGGTACAGTTGCTCTTTTTCCATTCATTGTATTACTTCAAGTATTCTCTGAAGGGCTGTGTTTTTGTCATGTATTCTTCCAGCCTATTCATATCATGGAAGTTTTTTCTTTCCCCTTTGACTATAGTTGACATTTTGGTTGGGTAAAGTAATCTGGGTTGGCATCTGTCATCATTTAGAACTGGAAATACCTTGGTCCAGCTCTTCTAGCTTCTATAGTTTGCATTGATAAGTCAGCTGTAATTCTGATGGGTTTTCCTTTATATGTGAGTTCTTGTTTTCCTTTTGCAGCTTTCAGTATTCTCTCTTTGTTCTGTACATTTACTGTTTTTATTATGATATGTCATGGGGAGTTTCTTTTCTGGTCCTATCTATTTGGTGTTCTATGTATTTCTTGTATTTGTATGGGCATGTATTTCCTTAATTTGGGGAAATTTTCTTCTACAATCCTGTTTAAGATATGATGAATAAATTCTTCTCCTAATGTGATTCAACAGCTTGGTGTTGATGACTTGGTGCTAGGGAAACTCTATGGTTTTCTGAGTTCAAAATTTTAGTGAGGGTGTCTAGAAACCAAACGCTTCCCATCTGGCAGTTTCTTTCTTCATTAACTGGCTAAGGCTTCAGAGTTTCTATGACAGGAGCAGTGGCTGCTCTCCTCAATTATCTTCAATATTTCTTTTTTAAACATATATTTTATTTATTTTCATTTTATGTGTATAATTGTATTGCCTGCATGTATTTAAGTGCACCACATGTGTTCAATGCCTGCAGAGGCCAGAAGAGGATGCTGGATATCCTGGAACTGGAGTTCTGGGTGGTTGTTAGCTGCCATGTGGGTGCTGGGAACTGAGCATGGGTCCTCTACAAGAGCTACCAGTGTTCTTAGCCTCTCCAGCTTCTAGTATTTCTTCTGATGTGTCCTCTGAAAGTTTCAGATGGGCTCCCAAAAGCTTCACACTTCTCTAGCGACAGAATAGCTTCAAACTAATACAGGTTTTCAAATTTGGTTGCATCAGGGAGAAGGGTCATGGCTTCACTAACCAGAGCTTTAATACCCTCTGTATCAATGATGTTCTCTGCAACTTTCTGTACCTTGATACTCAAAGATTCAACGTTGTTCAGTGTTCTGGCATTCAGAGATGGCTTCTGTTTTGTGCTGCCAAAGGCTTTATTGCAAGAATTCATTTTTTATTCCGAAAGCTTTGGTTTCATTTTCCAAGTAGGATCACTCTCAAGTAGGATCACTTCCTCAGCAAACAGTGGCCGCAGGTTGAACAACTTCCATTTATTTGGTCAGTGTTCTTATTCAAAATCCCCACAAAGTGTCTCCAGAGAGTGGTGCATTTGAGGGCACCATTCCCCAAACAATTTTCAACTGTTTCTTTCAGCATCCAGGATCGGCTGACTCCTCTTCAGCAGCCCCGCCCACTCTCAAAGTTCCCACTTTGCCTTGATAAATCGGTTTGTTCTGCTAACAAAATTACATATATGCATATAATTTATATATGTAATTATAATGTATATGATTTACGCGGACCATTTTGTTGGCAATGATGCTTCATAAAAATCATTTGTAGATACTTGAAAAAAGACATCATTATCATTGTTTGACATAGAACCTGTAAACGGGTTGGCTGGATCAATCTGGATAGGATGACTTCTTCAAAATGACTGCAATTCCTAACGCTAATTTTTCTAGATATTACCTGCTAATCTATAGCAGAGGTGCTGGGACGTTTTATATTTGTCTTCAGGAGCAAAGGTGGTGCCCAAGACCTGCTTTTCAAATAAAAGCGCCATTGGCTCAGCAAACAGGGGCTTAGGAAGGGAGCTGCTCCTGTAGGAGATCCGTGGGAGGGCGGGGCGCCGAATGACAGGCGGAGCGCAGGAGGGCGGGGCGAGTGGTAGGGTGACGTAGGAGACGTGCGACGACGGGTGGGAAGGAGGGGCGACGAATAAAAGGCGGGACAAAGGGCAGGAGGGAGGTGCAACGGTAGTGAAGGCGGGGCTACGGGTGGGCTCGAGGGCTGAGGCGGAGGCCGGAAAAACAGCCAGATTTCTATTGGACGGAGCGGCCTGTTTTGAGTTTGCCCGGCCGGTTTGAATAGCCTGCTAACGCTCGTCCGTTTGTTACTCGCGGAGGCCAACCCCCTCTTGCTGTGGGGCATCTCCCGGGCCGTTAGGGGCCTCGGGCGGTTCGGTCGCTCCAGTCCTCGAGCTTTGGCCTGCTTGGGCTTCCTCCTCTGGCCTGCCTCCACAGCGGGCCGCGAACATGGCGGCGTCGGGCCTGGTAAGTTCAGGCTTCGGCCTGGGCTCGCGCCACGGTGGCGCGGGCTGGACTTGTTGGCGGGTGCTGGGACCTCTGGGGTTTGGGAGAGCCGCGCTGACCCTGAAGTCCGCTGTGACTGTGTGTCGAGTCACTGGACTTTTAGCCTCAGGGTTTCATTGTTTGGTGTTTGTCTGTCCCTGCTGTTTTCAGGCAATCTTCTATTTCTCCATTTTGGCCTGGTTCTGTTTCCTAGCCTTCCAGATACTTCTGAGCCAAGTACAAGCATAACCTTTCCGCCAGTCATGCCAGTCTGGAAAGCTTGAGTCTTTAATAAAATTGTCTTTGAAAAAAAACTGACATTCTCCATTTTTGTCGAAATACTGTTTTGTATGTAGCTTTTAAGGCTAATATTTACGGGAGAACTTTTACTGATAAAACCTTATAAAAGGCAACCTTTAGATAAAAGGTGTGAGCTTTGAATGCCTGACGAGGGCCAGAACTACTTTTTTTTGTCTTTTTGAAACAGGGTCTCCCTGTAGTCCCAGCTGACCTGAACTCACTAGAACGTTTTTATATGTCTCGACACACTTGATATTCACTAGTGAAGTCTTTCAAACTTCATTTTAATTAGCATGTATCATTTCTGTCCTAAACTGGTATCTTCATCGAGGATCTGTTACTAGTTATATGGAAGAGTGGTATAGTGTATTATTTACATTACATATAATCAGAAACAAAACAAACCATGAAGAATAAAACTTAAATGCCGCAGTTTATTACCAAATATAAGTCATAACCTTATAACTGTGTTGAGCCTTTTGGTTCTGACATTTTTATGTCATAACCTTTTTAAAAGACTAGGGGAGAGAAGAGTTGGAGATTATTCTCAGACATACCTGTACTTAAGTGTTCTCAAGTGAATTTCCTACCTTGGACATATTTGGTGATACTCAAAGAAATTTTATTTCTCCCAAGGCAGGTTTCTGGCATCGGTAGGGGTAGGGTGCATGAGAGAGTGCTATAGGGTATCTAGTGGGTAAGGGCTGTGTATGCTGCTGAGCCTCTTAGATGCATGGGACAGGCCCCTACAACAAAAAAGTCATCCACTCCAAAATGTCAGCACAGTTTGGCAAATCTAGTGGTGTGCAATATAATTTTCTTTGAGAAGTAGTTTCATAGTGAATGGGAGAAACTCTAGATGAACTGGAGAATAGAAGCTGGCAGTGTGTATTTTTTTCAAGGTAAAAAGTTTTGCTTTGTAGCTATTTATATATCATTGAGCTATGTAAGAGTGGGGCTAAATAACCAATTGGTATTGATAGTGTTTTCATTTTTAAGAGTGTGCTGGTCATCCTCTTACTATCTAATCTTCAAGTAGAAGAACTTTATACTTCTACAGTTAAAAGATAGTGTCTATTAGCATTTTTCTGTTTTATTTTTTGTATTTCCCATTTCCTCTCCCTCTTTTGGGGGTGGGTACATTTTTAGAACTGTCCTCAGTTTTTTCTTATCTTAATTTTAGGCACTCATTTCTTAAGAATTTTTCTTGCTCTCTGCTCAGTGTTTATAATATACAACTTTAGATCTTTAAAAATATTTTTTGTGTGTTGTTTTTTGAGACAAGGTCTTACTATTTAGTCCCAGCTGTCCCGGAACTTGTTATGTAGACCAGGCTGGCCTCGGTCTCACAGAGAGATATCTGCTTACCACTGCCTCCAGAGGGCTGAGGTTAAAGGCATATGCCACCACGCCTGACTTACAACTGTAGATTTTCATTTGTATTTATCCATTTATTTTAGAGGATTTTGCAGTGTGGCCCAGCTCAGCTCAAACTCAGAATTCTCTGCCTCTGTTTCCTGAGTGGCAAGCTCAGGAAGCTTTTTGAGTTCTGCATTTTGGGTATCTTTTGAAGGTATTAAAGTATTTTCTAGTTTCTTTTATTTTTATTTTTTATGTATATGAGTGTTTTGCCTGCATAGATGTGTGCTTGTGTCATGCAGTGCTCATGGAGATCAGAAGAAGGCACTGGATCCCCTGGAACTGGAGTTACAAATGGTTGTTAGCCTACATGTGGGTGCTGGGAATCAAACCTGGATCCTGTGCAAGAACAGCCAATGCTCTTAACCACTGAGCCATCTCTCCAGCCTCAAATTTTCTAGTTTTTAAGGTTTTCTTCTCTTTTTTGTCATTCATTTTTCTCTTGGGGCCTTTTTCATTTTAAAATTTATGTCCCAATTTTCCTCTTCTATTTTAGAATGTAAATGTAAATGTAATCCACAGATGTTGGTCATATTTGAGACGCAGACAATAGAATACTGTTTGGGATGTTTGTAGGGGGACTCTACTGTTCTGTATATAAGTTTTCTTTTAATTTCACCTTTCCTTCTTTATTAAGACTCACAATTTAACCCAGCCCAAGCTGATATTGAACTCAAAATCCTACTGCTTTAGCCTCCTCAGGTTCTGGGATACGAATGTACCACTGTACCTGGCAATTGCTTTGTTAGTATTTCCTTGTCTGTCTTCTTCCCTCTTATCTCAAGTTACGTATTCTGCATCTTTGTGATGTTCTCTTGGGCAGATTAAAACAACACCATCAGCATTACCAGAAGATAAGGAGAACTATCTGTAGTGTATAAAATCTGTGGCTGTGGCACACTGGAAAGATTAACTTCCTTCATTGAAGATAATATACTCTGATCTTACTCTGGGGTGCTATTCCTTTATTTTTATTATGTATCATGCTTCATCTATTTTTCATGTTTCAGAAATTTGTTAAATTTGTTGGCATATGGTTTCCCATTCTTAGTTTTCATTGTTTTATGATATTATTATTATTATTGTTGTTGTGTATGTGGGTGGGTGCACATGTGCCACAGCACACGCAGAGGTCAGTTGTGGAAGTCAGTTCTCCCACCTTCATATGGGTTCCAGGGATCAAACTCAGGTTTGTGTTCAACAAGCTCCTTTACCCTCTGAGCCATCTTGCCGGCCCCAGGAATTCTTTATAATATTGTACTGGCCAGTTAACAGATACTTGTTGAATGAGTATATGAAAAAATAAGTTTATGTTAATCTCATATTGGAATGAAATTAGTTTGAAGATGAGTTTTATTTGGTTATATTTTTAACAAATTGATAATTAACTTTTCTTTCAGGATCATCTGAAAAATGACTATAGAAGAAGATTTTGCCGGCCTTCCAGGTGATAAACATACATTGAAACTTTTAGGCTGACTTTCATATTCATCTTCAGAAAGTGGTTTGTTTGTTTTTTTAACTAAAGACAACAAAAGCTGTTCACGCCCATTGATTAAATGTGGTCATTTAAATTACTTTATACTTAGAAATATTTAACACAAGTGGTGTAATGACTTCGTGAAAGTAAGATAAAATACTTACCTAGAATTGTGGACAAGACTTAGCACTGAATTGTGTTGCATTGAATGCTAATATTAGAGAATTATTACAGATTATTTCAGTAAGGAAAAAAGAAAGCATACATGTTGCTGATTAAATGTGGTCATTTAAATTACTTTATACTTAGAAATATTTAACACAAGTGGTGTAATGACTTAGTGAAAGTAAGATAAAATACTTACCTAGAATTGTGGACAAGACTTAGCACTGAATTGTGTTGCATTGAATGCTAATATTAGAGAATTATTACAGATTATTTCAGTAAGGAAAAAAGAAAGCATACATGTTGCTATGTGCTTATTTGGGTACTTTGATTCTTCTAGTTATAAAATCTGTAAAATTAAATATTGTAATTAAATATTTAATAATAGGATTAACAACATACTTTGAAGATGTTATGAATAACCAGGTGTTTATTGTTTCTCATTTTTACTAGCTCCATTGTGGCAAAGAAATGAGTTTTTGGCACATAATGAGCTTGCATTCTTGCTTGAAAAATTTATATGTATGTTAGTGAATTTATTTATTTTTGTTATTTATGTGTATGCATGTTTTGCCTGCATACAAGTGCACCATGTATGTGCAATGCCCTGAGGAGGCCAGAAGAGGGTGTCAGAGCCCCTAGAACTGGAGTTATGGATGGTTGTTAGCCACCATGTGTGCGCTGGGAATTGAACCAGGGTTCTCTGGAAGAGCAACAAGTGTTCTTAACCCCTAAGCCATCTCTCCAGCCCTGTTAGTGAATTTATTTAACATTTATTAACATTGGTGAAGCAGTGGGCATGAACCAAGAAATGATCAAAAGAATGATTGAACTCATGGTGACCACTTTGCTTATATGAGCCTGATTGCAGATATTATTCTGATGCAAAAATGATGGTTACACAGAGATAAAACATGAGAGAAATATTTTTATCTCTGTGTAACCACCATTTTTATGTCAGAATAATATCTGGGTGGGTGGGTGGGAGGAAGCATAGCAACAAGCAGGCATGGTGGCAGGAACAAGAAGCTGAAAACGTACATCTTCATTCACAGACTTGAAGCAGAGACTCTAAATTAACTAAACTTTTAAGTAAAAGTTATCAACCCCCTTAGAGGTTTATGCCAAAATTTTATACTTATTGAAATCCAGATGTCCTTCCACAGGTAAATGGTTAAACCCTGCAATACATTCATAGCATAGAATACTACTCAATATCAAATAGGAATGAACAATTCATAAGTGAAATAACTTTGATGACTCTCCAGAGAATTATACTGAGTGAAAAAAGTCAGCGCAAAATATTTTTTCTCTTTCTGTAGATGGTTACTTTATTTTACAAACGACAGAATTTTAGAAATGGAGGACAGGTAATTGATAAGAATTAGGAATGATAGGATCAAGTGAGGCAAGCAGGAAGTTAGAGGGAAGTAGATATATTTATGAAAGGCCAATACAGAGCTCTTTATATTTGGTTATACTTTAAACCAAAGTATATCCCTGGTTGTGATAGTGAACCTATAAAGGTAACACATTGTGTAGAGCAATACAGTCATACACATAAAAGAACATAAACACAAAAGTGAATACATGTAGAACCTGAATAGATATAACTGTATGTGAATATATAGTCAAAACAATTTTCATTTTAAATAATTTATATTCATTCATAAGTTGCTGTTAAAATTAATGCTATTGAATCAGAAGTCCACTTGAAAACTTACAAGAGAAGAGTATATAACTTGGAGACTTGGGGACCTATATATAGTCTTCATTACAAAAAGAGTTCAGTGCTTGTAACTCAGTGGTAGACTGCTTGCCTATTGTACACAAAGTCTTGGGTTAAGTTCCCCAAACAAGAGTGGAGTATTTCAGAACCTATTCAGTTCCTTGAAAAAACTATGTTATTGAAATATAATAGTAGTCTAAGATAATTTAAGACATGGATGTTCAACTCAGGAACAGATAGATATATGTAGATAACATACTTAATATTATGAAGAGAATGAGTTTACTTGATGGAATTCTTAGACTATCAAGTGCTTGTTTTGTGTTGAAGTAGTAAAGATATTTTTCTTATTTAAAGTTATCAAATAGATAACAGAACAAGTATAGAAATAGTATATTTACTTTTTCTTTTTTATTAGGGTGCCTGACATTCATACAGCACAAGGCCAGAACATGATGGACATCTTACAAGACTGTTTTGAAGAAAAAAGTAAGGCTTCATTTCTGAATGGACTTTAAGCATCAGAATGGATAAAAATAGAAATTTATTATAGATATCAAATGTAGCAAATATCTTCTAGCATTTAAATATACATATTTTCTTCATAACTTTGAGTACATATATATAGTCCTTTTTGTTTTTTAAAATATTTTATTTTTTTATTTTATGTGTGTGTGTTGCCTGCATGTTGGTAAATGCACTGATGTCATAGAACGTCTGCAGAGGTCAGAAGAGGGTGTTGTATCCCCTGGAACTGGAGTTTACAGGCTGTTGCTAGCTGTTCTATGGGTGCTAGGACTAGAACCCAGGTTTTCTGCAAGAATAGCTAGTGCTCTTAACTACTGAGTCATCTCTCCAGCCCTGCAGTCCTTTTTCTACTTTTTGGTATGCTAGGGATAACACATAAAAATCACATGGCCGGGCATGGTGGCGCACACCTTTAATCCCAGCACTCAAAAGGCAGAGGCAGAGGCAGGCGGATCTCTGTGAGTTCAAGGCCAGCCTGGTCTACATAGTGAGTTCCAAGACAGCTGGGGCTACAGGGAAGCCCTGTCTCAAAAAGACCCCCCCCCAAAAAAAAAATCACAATAATGTGTTTTCTTTAATTCATATTAGAGTCACATAATCTGGAAGTCCACAGATTGATATTATACCCAAGAAAATATATTTCTCTATTGTGAAAAATCCAGAATCTGAAATACCCTAAAATCCCAAAGCTTGGGTATGAGTATCATATCACAAATGGAAAATTTCATACTATGAAGCTTATTTCATGCACAAAATTGCCTTTAGTCTGTATGTATAAAGTGCATGTGAAATGTAAGTGAATTTTGTCTTTCAACTCAGGATAAATCTTATAGTGTATAAATATTCCAAAATCTGAAAACAAGCATGAAATTTTAAGCACTCCTAGACCCAAGAATTTTGAATAAGTAATGAAAATAAGTAAGAATTCAGAGATCATTTGAATTTGAAGTAATTTTTTATGATTTACATGTTTCTAAGGAATTGATAAATTAGGACAAAAGCTTTCTAAGTGCCAGTCAGAATGTAAGGGCCAATGAAAGAAATAAGAAGGGATGGTGTATACTATTGTTTAATTGTATCTCCCCAAATCATGGGTTGCAACTTGAATCTCTAATGCAACAGCGTTTAGAGATGAGACCTTTGAGATGTGATTAGAACGTAAGGATTCTGTCCTCATGAATGGATTGATGCCAACCATAAAACTCCTTGGAGACTGTGTTGTTTTGCTCTTTGGCATTTTTACTCTTTTTACCTTTCCCTCCTATCTTGGGATAAGATCAGAAGGCCATTGCTTTACTAAATCTCTGAAGTCTCTGTTCTTTGTAAATCATAGTCTCTTGTATTTATTATTTTTGCTATTCTGGGTATCAAACCCATGACTTTGATCTTTAAGCTCAATATCAGGTATTCTGTTAGCAACATAAAAAGTAGGACAGGGGGCTGGAGAGATGGCTCAGCAGTTAAGAACACTGGCTGCTCTTACAGAGGACTTGGGTTTGATTCCCAGCACCTACATGGTGGCTAGTAACCATCTGTAACTCCAGTTCCAGAGGATCTTACGTATATGCAGGCAGTACACTCAAAAAAAAAAAAAAAAAAAAAAAAAAAAAAAAAAAAATTTTTACAAACTGAAGGAACTGAAACTTCTTCAGGAATCTTGATTGCCTTTCCATTGCTGATGCTCATCAGGAATACTTGAACACTGAATTGATGTCATTATTTCTTTAGGTTAATTGTGTTTAAAGAGTCAACTGACAGTTCTTCACCATATCATATAGGGCCACTTTTAATTGTTTAGTTACATATTATACTGTAATTCATTTTTAAATTTTCATACCTTTAGGTGTCCTCAATAATTTTGTCACAAATTCTACAGAATCGCTACTTTGTTTAACACCTAAAATGAAAGACAGTTGTATTCAGTCAACACACAAAGAGGTAAGTCAAACAGCAAAATTGACAGATTTAATACTTTGAATAATGCTGTAAACAATGTTTTATGTACATTTTAATTGTTTTATTCTTTAAAAAGAATCCTATCTTTATTGACTCATATAATTTGGAGGTATTATGAAAATCTAATTTTATGTTTCTTGTGTTTGAAATTGGGAATTAAAACTACCAAATTGTAGCAATCACTTCCCATTTCTTCTAAAATAATGCTCAAGTCTTTAGGGAAATGAGTAGCTTTTAAAGTTACTAATCAGATTGACAAGTTTCATTGTTTTCTGAATACTGAAGGTATTACATTGCTATCCAAAAAAAGCTTTTTGGTTGATTATATGTCTTAAAAGGATAGGTTGATTTAACTATATCAAAATAGTATATTTTTAGTTAGAATTTTTTTTTAGTAATGTATTTGAACCAAAGACCTTGCACATGCTAAAGCACATGGCTTTATCACTGAGCTATACCCATAGCTCTAAAGTTTTTGAAGCTAGTGGTCCAAGGCAAATTATTTGAAGCACAATACTAATTAGAAAGATACAGTGCTAGAAATGTTTGTGGAAAACTTATAAACAAGCATTGTTTTGCTATAAGTTGACCTGGAACTTAACTAATTAACCCAGGCTGGCCTTAAATGCATGGTCCTAATTGCTGATCCGCTTGTGTGTAGATAACCTTTTGGGGGGTTTTGTTTTAAATTTTTTTATTTATCATTTTTATTTTATGTGTTTGAGTGTATTGCCTGCATTGTGCATTGCCCACAGAGATTAGAAGAAGGTGACAGAGCCCCTGGAACTGGAGTTACAGATGGTTGTTAGCTGCCATGTGGGTGCTGGGAATTGAACCCTGGTCCTCTGTAAGAGTAGCCAGTCCTTACTACTAAACTATCTCTCTAGCCCTGATAGCCTTTTGCTTTAGGGAGTGCAGACAAAGCCATTTCTTTCAGAGTTGAGAAACTTTCTATAATATGAGAAATTATATTTACCTTTGAAAATTAAAATAAGTTCCCTGTGATAAACTTGATTTGATCATAAGTATTTAATTTTTAAATGTTGTTTTTTCTCTTAGAATTTAATACATGTTTATGAATTAATTTTTTGGTAAAATTAGCTTAAAACATCCATGTTCATGATTGTCCCTCCCCCCTCTTTTTTTTTGTTTTCTTAACACGCTATTGTAAGTTTTTACTTTTGAGGTCCAACACTATTCCTACTGTAACAGCTAGTTAAGAATAAAATGCAGGAGCCAGGTGTGGTGGCATATGCCTTTGATCTCAGAGGCAGAGACCCTTGTGAGATTGAGGCCAACCTTGTCTTCATAGAGAGTTCCAGGCCAGCTGGGGCTACAGGGAGACCCTTTCTCAAAAAACAAAACAACAGGGGCTGGAGAGGTGACTCAGCAGTTAAAGAGCACTGGCTGCTCTTGGAGAGGACCCAGGTTCACTAGCACTCAGCATGGTGGCTTATAATCACCTGTAACTCTAGCTCTGGGGGGAATCCATCGCCCTCTTCTGATCTCCTCCTGGCTAGGTGTGTAGTTATACTCACAACTGAGGTTTATTAGCAGCCATAGAGTCAGGGTTCATAAGGGAAGAGGCACATCAGCCAAGTAGAGACATCCATATAGAGGCTTCCTATGCTATTCAAAAGGACCATGAATGTAAGGTGTTGAAATATACATACATACATACCCATCACTTAGTTACCAGCAGTGAAATTCAATAATGTGTATATTCTTTTCTCCCTAGGGAAAGTCTTTTGAAACCAAGTCTATTTCTATTGGGGTCTGGTCCCTATTCGTGAAACTTTATAATCACAGAAGGAAATAAAATGAGTGTTGACCACACATCATATTTTGTAAAGCAGTTAAGACAAGTTGCCACAGCAAGTTCAACCTTATCAATTGGTAAAGGAAGACACATTCTTAAAACCAAGTGTATAGGTTCCCAGCTAAGGCTAGCCTTAAAAAAAAAAACAAAAAAAAACTAATGATTAGGGATGCTGTGTTAACTCTTTACTGCCTGGAGTGTTAACTCTTTACTGCCTGGAGTGAATTCCTAAATATTGTATTGTTTCATATTTCCTTTTATCTTTTTTGAACTCTGCACTAATAACATTATATGTACTTCTATGAACTTGCTTATTTTGTTGTTAACGTAATGGTTTTAACTGTTAATATATGGTTGTGCCATACTTGTTTATTCAGTCTCCCTTCAGTAGTTCTTTAGTGTACATTGTTGATTTGTTGTTTTAAATTTTTTCTCCAATTTTAAAAGCATGTATTTAATCAGAATTAACAATATTGTAAAAGTAGATCAAATTTTGTACTCATTGTCAGATATCACATTCAAAATCAGTTCCAGTTTCTTCAGGGAGGAAAGAAGCCTCTCCACAAGGCATTGGAGAACCAAGTGAAACTGCCAGTAGTTCAGGTTGGTAGCATTGTCGTGGTAATATTTGCCTCTGTAAAAAGTCAAGTCAAAAATGCTAAAAGTGGTGCTCACATTGTTTAAAGTCACAAGATTGGAATTCACCTTAGAATAACTGAAGTGAATGAATACCATTTTGCTTATTTGCCTTTGCTCTGTTTCCTTATCTCAGTGATATGTGGAGTTCCTCAAAAAGTTAAAAATTGAGGCCCACAAGATAGCTCATTGGATAAAGGCTTTTGCCTCTAAGGTTGATGACCTGAGTTCCATCCCTGGAACCCACATGGTGCAAGGATGGAAGTGACTTAGAATAAATTGGCTTTTGACCTCCACATATTGCACTGTGGCACATTTGTGCACCCCTACCCCCCCCCCCCCCCCCCCCGCCCCCAGGCCCGGAATAAAAAGGAAAAAATGAAAATCAGACCATAAGAAGTAAAAACAGGGATTCAGACACTTGAACACTAATATTCATAGTAACATCATTCACAATACCCAAAAGGTGGTTAAATACCCTCAACAAAGAATGGACAAATAGAGGGTAGTACCTACAAAAAGTAGAATATTCAGCAATAGGAAGTAATAAAGCTCTATATACTGTAATATGGAAAACCTTTGGAAACTAAAATAAGCCATACATAAAAGGAAAAAATATCACATGATTTCACTTATATTAAGGTTTAAAATAGATTAAATTCAAAGTTGGGTATAGAATTTTCTGTGACTAGGGGTGAGGAGAAATGAGTTAATGCGTAATGGGTAGGATTTCTATTTAAGATGGTGACTAAGTTCTGGAAATAGTGGTGATAATTGTCTTAATGTACTGAATTGTGTGTATTTGCAAGTATTATATTTTGTCATGAGAAGAAGCCTTTTTTTTAAAAAAAAAATGTATTAATTTTATGTGTGTGGGTGTATTGCGTGCATGTATGTACCTATGTTATGCAGTGTCCCCGGAGGTCAGAAGACTGTTGGATTCCCCTGGAACTGGAGTTACAGACAGGTGTTAGCCACCATGTGGGTGCTGGGATTCAAACCCAGATCCTCTGCAAGAGCTGTCAGTGCTCTTAACCACTGAGCCACCTTTCCAGACCAAGAAGAAGCTTTTTAAAAAGTTAGTCTAGAGCTGACGATGTGGTTCAGTTGGTAGAGTGCTACCTAGCATTCACAAGGCCTTAGGTTTGATTGCCAACATCAAATAAAACTGGTTTGGTGGCTTACACCTATAATACTCAGGAGGTGGAGGCAGGAGGAGTGTGTCTTAAATCCAATCAGGAAGTGATGGGTTACCCCCATAATGTTCATGCCACTCTTGCACCCATGGGCATAATAAGCTGGTCATTATTGTTAGTTTACAGGATTCATAACTTTTCAAGACTGTTGATGACTTTTTCTCTCCAACAACTTACGTAGCATCTTCTGATACTGTGAAAGCAAGTTTTAATAGTAACCAAGAGCAGTGATAATAGCCTATATTATCTTGGAGCTCTCTGGGAAACTCTTGACAAATAACTCAAAGGGCAGTATCCCACACCTGGCTGGAGTTTTTATTTGGCATATGGCTTCTAGGAGGAGCATTATGTAGGAAAACTAATTAAGCTCTTTTATATGAATATTTGATAGTCATATAAATATATATGGAGCTTATAAAATAGTAAGTTTCCATATGGCTTTTTCAAAATTCTTTACTGTTATCCCTCCCCCCTCACCTCTTCTGCCCTACCCATCCATCTTCTCACCTAAACCATCCTCTCCATTATTCCTCTTTTCTCCTTCATATCATACCACTTATGTTCTACTATCCCCCATTCCTTAAGATCTTTCTTCTCCCCACCAGTGATTCCTTTCTAGTTTTCTACAGACACTCCACATTCGACAAACAAATCAAGAGATGAGATGAAAAGATCCACATATGAGTGAGAATATACAATGTTTGCCTTTCTGGTTCTGGGGTACCTTACTCAGTATAATACTTTACAGTTCTACCCATTTACATGCAAATTTCATAATTTCACTTTTATTCTTTTTAAAAAAATTTATTTTCCATTTTCTTTTTTAACATTTTTAATTGAATTTTTGTGATTTTCATACAATATAATTTGATGGTATTTAGATCCCCTCCCCTATGCACACCTCTCCTTATTGCCCCCCACTCAATTTATTGTCCCTTATTATATATCTAATAAGGCCTGGAGTGTCTAATTTTTGTCCCCAAATAATTTCACTTTTCTTTACAGCTGATTAAAAGTCCATTGTGTATAGATAACACATTTTCATTGTCCATACATCAGTCGATGGACATCATGTCCTAGCTATTGTGAATAGAGCATTTGTGAACATGGATGAGCATGTGTCCCTATAGTTAGGAAATGGTGTCCTTTGGGTATATGCTGAGGAGTGATATAACTGGGTCATATGGTATATCTTTTCCTAGTTTTTTGAAGACTTATCACACCGACTTTTATAGTACCTTCATCAGTTTGTACTCCCAACAACAGTGCATGAGTGTCCTCTGTTCCCCACATCTTTGCCAGAATTTGTTGTCTTTTGTTTTCTTAATCTTAGTCATTCTGACTGCAGTGAGATGAAATTTCAAAGTAGTTTAAATTTGCATTTCTCTGATAGTTAAGGATGGGAAACACTGTTAAAAATATTTCTTAGCCATTTGTGTTTTCTCTTCTGAGAACTCTGTTTAGTTTTTGTTGTTGTTTGCTTGGTTGGTTTTTGACAGGATCTCTCTGTAGCCCCGGCTAACCTGGAATTTGCTATGTAGGCCTATTTCTTGGATGACCAGAGTCCTACTTAGAAAGTCCTTACCTGAGTCTATATTTTAAAGTGTACTTTCTATTCTTCTCATAGTTTTAGTGTTTCATATGTAACATTGAGATCTTTAAAACATTTGGTGAGAGAATGTGTTTCATCTTCTACATGTAGATAACCAGTTTTCTCAACATCATTTCTTAAAAGTGTTATCTTTTCTCCAATGTGTAATTTTTGGCATCTTTGTCAAAAATCAGGTGGCTGTAGGTGTGTGGACTTATATCTGGGTCTTTGATTCTAATCCATTGATCAGTATGTCTGCTTTTGTGCCAATACCATCCTGTTTTTACTGCTATGACTCTGTTAATATAACTAGGAATTCCCAACTTGCATATGATTATCAAGCCAATTTTTAAAGATTGACCACTACTGTTTTCACGGTAACATTTTACATTTCTACCATGATTGCACAAAGGTTTTCGTTTCTTTGCATCATTACCTACAGCTATTTTCCCTGTGTTTGGGTATGATAATTTTTTGTTGTCCTTTCGAATATAAGAATTTCCCCATGGAGCTAGTCCAGGCTGTCCTCAAATTCACGAGCATCCTGCCTCAGCCTCTTGAGTACTGGAATTACAGGCTTATTTGAATAATTAGGATTGTATCTTACATTTCTACCAGGGTAGCACAAAGGCTTTAATTTCTTTACATCATCACCTACAGATATTTTCTGGGATTATATTATTTTCAAGAATTAACTATTCTCCTGGGACGGGGTTCCCTACTTCTCAGGTGCCCAGTCTAGGGACATATGGGAGATGAACAGGAAGCCCAAGTCCTTAAGTCTTTGCATTTCTAGCTACTCTCCCTAGCTAGGTTTTAGAGCTCTTTAGTTGTGCTTAGAGGGAGAGACAGGGAAATGCCATCTCATTACCAAAGCCCTTTTGTTGTTTTGTTGTTGAATTTAAATTTTTTCTTCTTTGCTTTTTGAAGTAATGAACACTACCTAGTCATTTTTCTTCGACATTTGAACTTTGACAGTTAATATATACACACATAAATATATTCTCTGTATGTACAGATACATGTACATGTATGACATGTGTATATATAGTGTGTGTATGTGTGTGTGTTCATCTAGTCACTCTACCAATTCTTAGCCTAAACATAGAAGAATTTCATGATTTCTCTAGCTTCTTCATTATTTTAGCTGTATATAAACTTTTTTACATCTCAAGACTTTGTCCATAATCTTTGGAGTTTCTATGTTTAAGATTTGTCTTTCCATATGTAAATAGAGCAGTGTCAGAGAGCATGGATCAGTGTTTCAGTTCATTAATTTGATAAATTATAACTCTTAAGTACTTACATATTTTAATCAGAGAGCTTTGATTCTAAATTTAAAGACATGTGTCTTCTGAAACTAATAAAGTTACTGTTGAGTTTTAAAAGTCATGTTTGATGTAAATAGTGTTTAACTGAGAACTGTCTTCATGTAATTTTCTTTTAGTTGAGGCTAATGAAATTGATCACAAAACACTGACAACAGATGCTGTTTCTACACATACACCTGACTCGAAGGAAATGTCAAGTAAAAATCCAAATGGTCACCACAATGAGGATGATGACTTTTACCTATCTATTGGCTCGCCTGCTGTTCTTTTGGATTCAAAAGCATATGAATCCCCAAATGCTGTTTCATCTGCTGACCAAATGAGAGAGCCTTACAGTTTAAGAAATTCAGTAAATATGAGGTCTTCAAGAAAAAATATTTCTTTTAGACCCAAGAAAAGGTAACTTTTATTTAAACAGTAGTAATCCTACTTTAATAATTTTTTCCTTTATATTAAAAAATAGTAATTTAGTCTTTTAATGCAGCTTTGAAGCAAGAAATAACATGAGATAAAACAAAATGTTTTTTGCATAGCATTAGTTTTAATTAGTAATAAAGCATTAAAGTGTACTTTTAAGAAATTTAGGGGTTAACTTTTCTATAATCTATGGGGAAATGTTTTCATTGTGGAGCCAGTGAGATAATTCAGTGGGTAAAAGCATTTTTCCAAGCCAGTCTGGTGACTTAAATTCCATCCCTGGAAACTGTGTCAAGATGGAAGGAGAGATCTGATTCCACAGAGTTGTCCTCTGATTGCCACATGTGTGCTGTGACATATGTGTGCCCTCCCCCTCGAAAAAATCATGGGCACACATGCTAAATAGTAATAAATAAGAAAAAATTTTCTTTGTGTTAAGTTTTTTATAACATTTTTAAGTTAACTTTTAAAGTTATCTTACAAAATAATGGTTTTTTTGACATTATGTATGTATAGCATACATACTTTGGTCATAGTCTCCCTTTCCTATTATCTTTAACTTTTTTTTTTTTTTTAAAATTTTCTTTGTGTTAAGTTTTTTATAACATTTTTAAGTTAACTTTTAAAGTTATCTTACAAAATAATGGTTTTTTTTGCATTATGTATGTATAGCATACATACTTTGGTCATAGTCTCCCTTTCCTATTATCTTTAACTTTTTTTTTTTTTTTGAGACAGGGTCTCCCTGAAGTCCCTCATGGCCTGGGACTTGCTATGGTAGACCAAGTTGGCCTCATTTCACAGAGATCCGCTTGCCTCTGCCTCTTGAGTGTTGGTTAAAGGCGTGCACCACCACGCTCAGCCTTATGGCTAAGTTTTTAAAAGAAACAGTTTCCTGTATATTTGGTAGGTATTAGGGGTAGATATTAGATTCTTTTCAGGATAGCAGAGTATGGATGAGTTGTAAACCCAGCTCTGTTTGTTGGAGCTTCCTTTTTTACTGTTTGGAAGCAAAGTAGATTATTTAAGATACTTTTTTATTTGGAGACCTTTGTAATGAGTGTAATTTGCCTGATGATAGAATTTGGCATGTCTTTTATTTTTAACCTTTCAGGTTAAACTTTGATATTTCAACCAGAGTAGAAATAAAGAATAAAAAATCAGAAGTAGAGAATAAAATATCAGAAAGACAACAAGAAGGACCGTCATCAGAAACATCTGAGAAAAGAGTACAAATTCAACCACAAGCTAAAAAGAGTTTTTCAACATTGTTTTTAGAAACTGTAAAGAGGAAAACTGAATCCAGGTGAGTTTTTATTAAATTATCCTTTTAGATAGTTTTTTTCCACTTTCATTTTGTGAATCACATCTGAGCATTCCTGATGTTGTGCAATGTAGAATTTTTTTTTTTAATTACAAATGAAATAATTTCTTTTAAAGTTTTCATTTTTAGAAATAAAAAGGTTTGAAAAAAAAAAAACCCAAAAAACCCCAAAATTGCAAAAATGATAATTCTGTTACATTCTAATTGTTTAGGTATGGTCTGTAAATTCCAAATAAATAAAATAATGTAAAAATATATTATCAGTTCTTCATAGAACAAAAAGGAAACCACATAAATCATTAAATACTTTGGGCTTTTCTTTACTTCCCCCATAGATGAAGTCACATTTAAAAACTGAAGTACAGGTGCTGTTTGGAGAATGTTCAACAACATAAATGACAGCCTCTGTCTGATCATCGGCAATGTTTTAATATCTTCTACATTGACAGTCAGGGTCTGGTTTCCTCCCAAGACTTTATGCAATGATTTTACCAATTGCTGTTGTTGGTTTCTGATATCTGTTTCTTTTTTGTTGAAAACCACAGCCACTAGCTGGTTTTCATCTTTATTGTTGGGCATACATCTGTAACCTACAGCCTTAAATCTGAAAAAGGGATTTTTTTTTGTAAATTACACTGGAGGAATATTGTTGAAATAACCTTTTCCTGTTCCCCCCAAAGCCTGCAGTTGATTCCACTTTGCCAAAATAGCATCTCTCTCATCTCACAATAGTGTTGGAGGAGAAAGAGCACTTGGCAGTATTTATCAACTGATGGGACTGGGCAGGAGCTTGTGTAGGCTGACTGAAGAGAGCACCTAATGTAGTTTGCTGCTGTTGCTGCTGCTGTGTATTAAATCCTCCAAATCCTAGTCCAGTTCCCAAACCAGTCCCTAAACCAGTGCAAGCTCCTGTTGCTGTGTCAAAACCAGTATCAAATCCAAAACCTTTGCTCAATTGGCATGGGCAAAAGTGGCCTAACAGAAGAGAATATGGACAATAAATTCATATATGAGCAGTGGAGGAACTAGATTTTCCCATGGGTGCTACTGGCACTGGCAGCAGCAGTGCCAGTAGTGCCCAATGGAGCCCCCAAATTGAAGGCCATGTCAAAGGAGCAACGCTTTGGGAGTCCCAGGCTCACGAGCCACAGTGTGCTCATCTCTTGTCCCAATTTATTATTGTTTCTATTTTTAGACAGAGTATCCCTGTAGCCCCAACTGGCGTGGATCCTCAGGCTGGCCTGGCTCTTCCTCTACCCCCTGAGTGGTAGGATTAAAGGCATATGCCTTACAATGTAGAAATCTTTTTAAAAATATTTTCTTTATTTTTATTTTTTATGTGTATGAGTGTATTGCCTGCATATGTGTGAGTGCATCTGTGTCATGCAATGCCGGGAGGTCAGAGAGGGTTTCGGATTCCCCTGGAACTGGAGTTAAAGTTGGTTCGTAGCCGCCTGGGTGCTGGGAATCAGAGCCCGGGTCCTCTGCAAGAGCAGTCAGTGCTCTTAACCACTGAGCCATCTCTCCAGCCCCTCAATGTAGAAATCTTATTACTGTTGTTGTGTGTATATAATGTATGTGTATTTGGGCATGTAAGTGCCATAGCATTTGTGTGGATGTCAAAGAACAACTTCTCTCCACATTTATGTGGGTTCTGAGACTCAAACTCAGCAGCTGCAAGCACTTTACTCACTGAGCTATCTGGCTGGCTGTAACTTAGAGAAATCTTTTAATTGACACAAAGTTCATTAAAATTTTACGAAACGGGGGCTGGTGAGATTTTTCAGTGGTTAAGAGCCTTGGTTGCTCTTGAACCAGGGTTTGATTCCCAGCACACATACGGTGGCTAACAACTGTCTGTAACTCCAGTTCCAGGGGATCTTCCAGGCCCTCTTCTGACTACATTCTTGTGGGCATTGCATGACACAGGTATACGTAGCTACAAACAGGCAATACACTCATATACTCATACATAAAATAAAAATATTAATAAATATTTTTAAAAAACCATATTTAAAAAATTTTTACCCAACTATTTAGAGATAAGTTTTGATCACTAAATCACATTCTCAAACCCATCCTTTAATGGCTAATAAATTAGAAGTAAAAAATAAATTTACTCCGTTTTCATTATCAGTGATTTCTAGTTTGTCTGTGATGTCAACAAATGGGAGACTATTTAGAAATACGTCAAGTTGCTTATATTTACTATTACAGATTTTAAGTCTTCTTTTATATTGATTGAACAACCAAAAGATTGTCTTAAAATTTAATATGCTCTTTTCTATTTAAAAAAACTTGATTCACTCAATTAATGTTCATACAGTGGTTTTTCAGCCATGGCTACTCCTTGAATTTATGGTGACCAGGTGACTTAAACTTTGTGAGATGATATTTAAGGCTTTCTACTCTCCCTGGTCAACTGTTTTGGCTCACTTGGTTTTACACATTTGCAGTATATGTGCCTTGGCAGTTTTTTCCATGTTTGCCAGTTTTATTTTCTCTGAGGTCTGGACTGCTTTCTAAGTTTTTACAAGTTTCATTTCTGTCCTAACTACTTTCTTGCCCTTAGTCTTGCTGTTTTATGTCTTTCTTCTTTAAGATTATTTTACATTTCTAGGAGTTTAGAGTTTCTTTCATATTTTCTTTGCTTTCTGACAGTGCTAGAACATATTAGGAAGATTTTTAAAAAAATAAAAACATGTTGAATTAGGATAAATGAAATTCCTCTTTTGTTTAATCTTTGTCTAATAGTTCAGTTCCACTCACCTCCCCCCCCCAATGAGGTACATTGTCTCCATCATCTAAAACAAATTTGTAGTACTTACAAACTAACTATACCAATCTGCAATTATTGAATTTTGAATGTTCTTTTTGATAAACTAGTGAAGAAAGCTAATTTTATATTTGATTGCTGCAGTCAAATATAGCAGCTCAGCAATTCCCTGTGCTCTAGCATCATCATTCTTGCATTTCCTTACAACCAAGTCTAACTCCATCCAGCACAAATGTAACAAAGACTTTATTGATTTTTCTACCTAGCCCAAGGTCATCTTTCCCTATTCTAAACTTTAATATTGTTAAGGTTGCTTACAAAGACTATGTTGAGCTGGAATAATTGTAGTTAGATAGAAGTCTCTTGAAGTAGGAGAAGAACCAGCCTTGGAGAGCTCTTTTTCACTTGTTTATGAAGACTTTATTAAAAAAATTTGTAGCATTGGTTCTTTATTGACAGAGAACTACTAGGTATTACAAATAACAGCCAAAGCTAATTATATTTATTTTTAAGTTTGGTTGTTTCATAAATTGTGAAATAGTACATCTATTGACCATTAATTATGGTCTCCTATTTATGTTGGCTTTTTTCTTTATGAATTTTTAGTTTTCTAATTACATAAATCTAAAAATTCTGCCTAGTTGACAGTATATTTCTTAGCATGTTTACTATTTTATAACAAAGGTTTTTTTAAAGAACTGAGACTAGAGGAATGAAAAGGATATGTATATGTATATAAATCTCATAATCCCTTTGTATATCCTAAATCAAAAGAGAAAAACAATACTTTGTTTTCCCTTCTAGCTTTGCTTTTGTTATGACTGAAAGTAAGCATTCTTCCTGGAAAAGGTTAAAACACTAATGCATATACTAACTTCAGAGTTGCTTTTCGCCTATCTCACTACATTATGTGGTTTGCTTAAGACTGCCATAAAAGGCAGGGAAATGAAAAATGTGTCTGTCAGATCACCATCCTTTGAATAATTCCTTCTTTACACTTTTCCAACTAATTAGATAAAGTGCATTTAATCCTAGTACACTAGTCTTAATGTATTCACTATGTTATTAAATGTGTGATTTGCTTAAAATACATAAACATGTAGATGCTTTTGTGGGTATTTTACAGATCTTATAAGATTATAAACTGATTATAGTTAAAATTGCCTATCTGGGGTATGAGAAAGTATGATAATTTGTTTTAAGTAAAATAAATTTGGCGTAAGAGATGTGGGGAAAGAGAGCTACAGAAGGGGACTATTATTTGACCTTATTATAACAGATCCTGTGACATTGTGTGCTTTGTTAAAAGAATTTTCTTTCTGGGGCAAGAGAGATGATGGCCCAGTGGTTAATAGCATTGGTTGCTCTGGCAGAGGACCTGGGTTCCATTCCCAGCATCCGCATGGTGGCTAAGAACCATCTGTAACTTCAGTCCTAGGGAATCCAACTTTCTCTTGAGGCCTCCATGGGCACTGTACAACATGGGTGCACTTATGTACATACAGGCATAACACTCACACATAAAATTTAAAAAAAATAGTCTTATTTTTGCAGCACTAAATTTCTTAATTCCTATGGTATCTTATTTCTACTTTTTTTTTTTTTTTTTTTTGGTCTTTTGGAGACAGGGTCTCCCTGTAGCCCTAGCTGTTCTAGAACTCACTATGTAGACCAGGCTGGCCTTGAACTCACAGAGATCCACCTGCCTCTGCCTCCCAAGTGCTGGGATTAAAGGCATGTGTCACCACGCCTGGCCTATCTTATTTCTATATCATGATTATACTATTGCATTATGTATGAAAATGAGCATGAAATTTTTAAACTTGATGGAATTTTACATATTCTAGTTCATTTATGTTAATAATTATTGCATTTCTTTGATTTAACATCTGTGTATTTGGTGCTGCTATATATGAAGTCTTGTCAGATATAAAAAACAAACGATCTGTGATCAGTTGTAATTTATAAGTGTTCTCTTTAAATATTAGATTTTGGGGTTTCTCATATAATCTTGTTTTGGATGTGAAGAAACGCAGGTAAGACATCTGAACAAACAAGTAATAAAACATATAGGCTAGGCAATTCATTTTTTAATTTAAGTTAATATGATTGGGTAATAAGTATACATCTGTATTTCAAGGTTTTAGTGTATATATTTAGAGAGGGGCATCAAATTAATTACCCAGCTTTACATTTTTATGATCCTCTTAGTATTATAAAAAGGAGGGGAAGATTTGTACGATTAAGAGATAATTGAGGAGACATATGAACTGTTCTTTTAACAGATATATAAATTTTATTTGTTGTGTACTTTATTTTCTTTACTAAACAAAGATGAAACTTCTTTTACTTTAGCTGTTAAATAATTCTCTTTTAGTACCATTATTAGGCATTCATCAACAGTTCCACCTCTTTCATCTTCTTCAAATGACATGAAGTTATTAGAAGATGAATTTATAATTGATGAGTCAGAGAAAAGTTTTGCAAGTGAACTTTGGGTTACAATACCAAGAAAAGACAGACATCTGAAACACCATGCAGCATCCTCTTCTGAAAACACTGCAGTCCTTCTAGATAAGTCAAGAGAAAAACCTCACAATGTGTCATCTAAGACTTTGATAAGTGACACACAGTCTCAGAAAGCTCCCCCAGTAGAGAAATCTCAGCCCTCTGTTGAAAAAAAAAAGCGTACAGGTTGTGCTTTGACAAATGAATTGGAAAATAATTGTAGATCTACAGAATATGAAATGCATTCTGAGAATGCCAGAAAAACATCTGGAAGCAAAAGGACTATAAAACAGAAACGGAGAAGACCATCTAAGGCTAATGTAGTTGATGAGCAGATTAATAAGGGGCAGGGTAAAAATGAAAATAGAAATATGTCATGTATTGCCCAGGACAAGCTACAAATAAACTCAGACAGAAATACAGAAGAATGTGAAGAGGCGAGAAATGGACCTGTTTCCAAGAAACAAATGCCACCTGTGGGTAAGTGTCTGTGTGAGCATTATACCACCATTTTACAGTTTTTAGTATTCCCGCTTAGCTTTAGGAAGTAAGCAAAATAAAGCTGTCTATAAAGAATTTCAAACAATTTTAAAGTTCTTTTTGAGAATCTCTAGATGTAGTTCAGTTCTGACTCATTTGATTTTTTTCAGTTTCTATGGTGGAAACTACATGGAGAAGTGAAAAATTATAGATAAGTTAGTGATACATTTTCCCCTGCTGACATATCATTTTTGTGGATTATATAGACCAGCAATGCATATGTATATAGGATGAAAGTAGAAACACAGAAAACAGGTGTCTAACCAATACTTTGAAGTCTTTCTGTCATAAACAGTTTTTTTTTATTCCAGGCTGGTAAATGAATATAATGTTCTGATGTGTTGCTCTGCTGGTTGTGATTGTAGCAAATTACCACACATTTAGTAGCATTTTTTTTGTTGTTGTTTGCTTTGTTTTTTGAGATAGGGTCTCACTGTATAGTCTTGTCTAGCCCGGAACTTGCTGTGTAAACCAGGCTTGCCTTGATGTCACAGAGATCCACCTAACTCTGCCTTCTGAGTTCTGGGATCAAAGGTGTGCACCCCCATGCCTGGTAACTTATTTTTTCCCCTTAAAATTTATATAGTTCTCTGGTTCTGAAGTTTCACTGGACTAAAGCAAAGGTGATGATATACCTATAGCCCCTTTTTTTTGTTCTCTGAGAGTCTGTTCCTTGTCTTTTCCAGCCTTTGAAGCTACTTTTATTCCTAGATATACAGTTCTCCATCATAGCCAACAATGTCTGGTTTCTCATGTTTCTCTTAATTTCTTTTGCCTCTTCTTCCATCATCTCATTTCTTTCTGAGCTCAGGTTTTAAGGGCGCATGGATTGAACCAGTCTGGTTAATCAAAAGTAATCTCTTTTCAAGGTTTATAATTTAATTATCCTTAATTTCCTCTTCCAAAAGTTGATTAAAAACTTTATTTCAAAATGAAAGACAGTAATTACCTACTTTAATTTTGCATATTGCTATATAATATAAAGAAATTATATTTTCTTTTTCAAAAGATACTCAGGCTGGGGAGATAGCTGTCAGCTAAGTGCTTGCCTTTACAAGCATGAAGACCTGAATGATCCCCAAACCCAAGTTAAAAAAAAAAAAAGAAAAAGCTGGCATGGTGTCACATGCTTGTAATCTCAGGGTTGGGAGGTCAAAGACAGATGGATCCCTGGCGCTTGATTTCTAGTCAGCATAGGCTAAATGATGAATTCCAGGCTGTATCTCAGAAAAAGGAGGGGATGGCACCTGAGGACTGACATCTGAGTTTGTCCTCTGGTCTCCACACACAGGCACATGCATGTGTACCTGGACACTTGAGCACAAACACAGGCACACAAATATTCCTTTTTCAGTTTGGGAGTATATGAGTTATTAAGCAGTGTTAAGTACTTGCATTTAATTAACAACAAACTGGAAATCTTATTGGAAAAAAAAAATGGCTTTTTAAGAAATACAGTTGAGCTTCTGCCACTCCAGGTGCTGCTTGTGCGCTCCTTACTGTGGACTTGGTAGGTCTTTTGTGAAGAAGTAGCTGAGGCAACTCCAGTGATTGCCATGGCTGAGGAGAAACCCAAAGATTTCTCATCTTTCAGAGCTCAGTGGCTGTGAACAGCTATATGCTGTTTTTAGAAAAAATAAATACAAAAAAAAAATGGATTTTAAAGAAATACAGTTGAGCTTCTGCCACTCCAGGTGCTGCTTGTGCGCTCCTTACTGTGGACTTGGTAGGTCTTTTGTGAAGAAGTAGCTGAGGCAACTCCAGTGATTGCCATGGCTGAGGAGAAACCCAAAGATTTCTCATCTTTCAGAGCTCAGTGGCTGTGAACAGCTATATGCTGTT